GAGAGAGAGAGAGAGAGGCACACACACATCTCAGTAAATACTGTTTCAATTATGTGGTAGTCGAAAATAGAGCATGGAGCCGTGGTCTGGGCTGACAGACCCCCCCCAAACTTCTTCTTCCTCTCTGTCTCTCCCTCCTTCATCTTACTCCTTTTTCTAACTGTGTCACCACCTCTTTCTCTCACTTCAAATCCACTTCCAGACATGCACCTTGTTTCTTAAATTGAATTTTTACATATCAGCCCTTATGTTTGAGTCACCATGCCATAAAAATCGTGATTGCAATCAGATCCAGAAACATTTCCAACTTGGCTCGAGTCAAATGCTGTGACATTAATGTGAAGGCCACAACACATAAGAGGTTAAATAAACAGAGAGATATTAAATGGACGTCTTGTTCTGTCTTCTTAGAACACTGTCATATATTTGCCATTTAATTATCACTTCTTATGCACCAAGACAATAAAGTTTAATGGCTGTTTCAGGCAGGTTAATAAATCATGAAATACTGTCAATGATAAGCCAAGTTTAAAGGATCAGTTCAACATTTAATTAGTTAAGTTGTTAGGCCAAGCTAAGCTAAGTAGCTGTAGCTTCATGTATACTGTAAAGATATGAGAGTGGTTTCAATCTTCTGGCTCTTGGCAAGAAAGTGATGTTACAGTTATTTCAAACTATTCCTTTAAGTTGTCAGGGTTCTTCTAATGTCATCATATTTAGTCGTTTTTTTTCTCACAAATCCTAGTAAAATCATCAATAATCATCGGTTTCCCCTAAATCCCATCTGTTCAAAGTATAAATACATTATTTTCTCCAGCTAATAAATGATTAAAATATGATTAGAAAACTTGTTACAGGATCCATCAGTGAGAAGCTGGGGTGATGAGTGTTCCTCGTGAAGGTTATTAATTAAGGCTTCAGTTGCAAAATAATCCATCATTGATGCAGAATATTGCCGAAGAGCCTGAGGACACTCTCCTACCTTCATCATTTTCCAACTGATTGCTGAATAAAGTAGAACTAAGTTTGAAAGCCTCAAATCCATCACTTCGAGAAATAGATGACAGTGTTAGAGATTCCACGTCTGAATATGGCTTATTTTTCTGTCTCCTGTCACTCTTTCTCCCTCTCACTCTCTCTCTCAATTTCTGTCTCTCTCTCCCTTCTCTTGTTTCAATTTCTCTCACCCCCTCCCACTCATTCTGTGAGTCTCTCGCCCTCCATCTTTACCCACCACTCTGTCACACATTCTCTCTCCCTGCTGACTTTGCCCTTCCTTGTGTTCCCTCCACTCATTTTTTCCATGGGTCTTTTGGGTGCCTCTTCCCTCTTTCCTCTCTCCTCCTCCTCCTCAAACCACGCGACGCAGCACATCTGACGGCAGCGGCGGTTAACAGAGCCCGTCTCTCTCCCTGCGTTGCCGCCACCACGGCAGTTAACTTAGTCCAAACCAGATGTTTGTTTTATTCCCTCGCTCTCTCTAGAGGCAGAAAAAGAAAAGGGAGAGGCCAAATAAGAAAGCAAAAGGCCTTCTTGGTTTTTTTCTATGGGAGTCTTCCTCTCTTCTCTCCAAAAAAAAAAAAAAAACACGCCTCACAGCGGGTTCAGGGTGTTGTCCTCGATGGTGAGGAATGCTTTCTACTCTATTCTTGAACATCAACACTGCCTGGGGAGGCGATGACACCTCCAGGAGGTGCTCTTTAACAGGGGCAAACCCTCCTAAGACTATCTGACGCCTTCCCCGCTGCGCTTACTTAACCTTTATTTCACGAGGCAGCGCTTGTGATTGAGAAAGGTCTTTTTAAAGAGCTACAAGATGCAGCATCCAAGCAACCATAAAGGCTGCAGACAAACAACCTGCACGCAATTCATCTGAGCCAAAAACACATATCAGAATATCAGAGATTAATACACATATAGCTGGAGATGCAAGGCAGGCAGACACACTATTTCACAGGCTTGCATGTTACTTGCTGATGATTCAAGAGTTCATCAAAGTTCATTCAGCAAGTTTTATCAAAGTTGGACTACTAGTGTAGCAGGTATGGCCTCAGAATGTACGATATATGACCTTTAAGGTGGATTTATGTATTTGTCAGGGTGCTACTATCTCATATATTTCTGCTTTTGTTTGTTTGTTTTGTCTTCTGGCATTTTCATTCCTTTATCTGCCCTTTTTCTTATCTCTGAAAGAATTAAGCTATTTATTTTTGCCTATTATTTGCTCAGACATTCAGTAAGTAAAGTTCTGGGAAGAACGTACACATCAGGGCTATGGAGATACCATATGATGAGAACAGCTTGTGTTTTCTCCTTCATGCAGAGATTGTTGATAGTGAAAACAACATAAAGCAAGATGGAAAAAATATATAGATTTTATGTTCCAGCAAGAAAAACTTTCTCCTTGTGGCTGCTGTCAATCTATCACACAGTGACTGAAACATTGATTTTCAGTAGCTACAAGTAGCTTTTGCAATAAGGCTGGAAAAATATGACCTTGATGAAGCAAATGATCAGATTTACCTCAGTGATGATAAATGTAACCGTGCATGTACTTCCTCTCTCAGGTTTGCTTACAGGTTTGTGTAACCTTGTTACCTTTTTGTGGTTAAATCCCATTGGTTGTTGTATCTATTGTCAGTTTACAGACGTTATTATAACAATATGAATGCATTTATGTTGGTAATAAGTTCATAATGTAGGTAATTTGATACATTTGGATCATGAACAGCCCCCTTTTTGCAATCTAGCTAAGTTATCAATGCAAACCTTCCCATTGTCAGTTTATATTCACACATTAAAGACACATCCACCTGTTGTTGTGGTAATGCCATGGCAATCAGTGGGTAAAATCCTACACTATGGTGGGGGCTTCACAGCAAGGTAACTGGAACACCTTGAAGGAAAACCAAAAATCCACCTTTAATTACAAATAAATTGAATTTAATCTACTTCCACCAGATCAGGCCAACACTAGAATTAAGTCCCAAAATGCATAATCTCTTTACGCTCGGTCAAAGCTGAAGCACTGCAGGTGTCAAATCTAAGAACAGAGACCTGGACTGTGATTCACAGTGATATAATTTGGTTAATGAGCATATATTTCAATACGCTGCAGTACGTAGGAAAGTGCAGGTGAAGCTTTTCTTTCCCATAATGAAGGTGTAGTGTTCGAGGGCTGAGCTCGTCAATTATAGGCTGCAGTGAAAGGAGCCTGCAGGCCCTGCAGACCTTGCTACTGTAAAAACTCATTAAACAAGACATTTAGGAGAGATTAATTATGAGTGAAATTATCATAGTCTGAAATCTACTCCCGGCAGACTCGGACTCATTAGAGCATCGGGCCGCAGACCCACCTTCAGGATGTTGACGTAGGGAACGCCGTCAGGCCCATAGCGGCTGCCGTTGACCTCGATGTGTTTCAGCCACTGGATGTGCGGCTGGGCGTCACTGTAAACCTTACAGTGGAACTCCACATCGCTGCCCACAACCACCGTCTGATTGGCTGGCAGACCTGCCTGGAGGATGGGCCTGTGAGGGGAACGCTCTGAGACAGAAAGCATGAAGTCATTAGCACAAGTCCTGCATGGGAATGATGTGCTGCAGGAAATGTAGCTGTAAGGTTCTTTTAAAAAAAAAAAATCTTTCCTCCATCATCAACTCTCGTGGGTTTTTTAAACCACTTGTGCATGTTAATTTATTCGTTGTTTACACAGAAGCAGAAGTGAAAGTAAATGTTTCCGTGTTGTTTACCTAGCACATCCAGCTGGTAGGTGTGGGTGATGGCGCCGTACTTGTTCTGCACCACGCAGGTGTAGTTTCCCCGGTCTGACGGCACGGCGCTCTCCATCACCAGACTCCACTGCTGGTGTCTCAGCTGGGGGGGGGAGTAGGAAGAGGGAAAGAATAGTCAGGATATGTCATTACAACACATCTACATCTCAAGAAATCTCAAGGGGGGGTTGGTGTCATGTTTGCAGGGATGATCGACATCCTTTCCACGTATGATAACACACAGTATCAAGTCTAGTTTATGAATATGTCTCAGGACTATCATCCTTTACAAGAGATATACAGGAACATTTTCCAAACCAAAGCTAAAACAGAGAAAAATGACACTATCACTAACACAAAAAAATCCCCCTATTTTCACAAATGGGCGCTCTGTCCGGACAAAACCATCCTCTCCAGTGTCAGATCTCTTCCGTCACTCCCTCCTTTGATATCCTTTGGTATAAAACATCACAGAGCGGCCAGGTTGGTAAACAAAAGCGTGCTGTGTACAGCCCATGTTTACTGACGTGCAAACCCCTTTGAACAAACATTTAAAATGGTAATACAACTTTAACCCACTTTTGTTAATTGCATGCTGGTGGATGCAGAACAGACGTGATTAGTGCATGTGGTTGATGGGGTCCAGTTCTGTGTGCAGTTGGATTGGGTATCTGGTGCAGACTTTGGACCATATTTTATGAGAAATGTTTTTACACTGAATAAGATGACAAGAATAAATGAGATGGGACGCACTTGATAATTCTCAAGATGCAAGATTGCTTAGGAAATTGCTAAACAATGATGGCAAGAGTATTAAAACCAGAATGCCACAAAGCCCCAAATGTGTGATCAATCAGTTAGACTAATTGAAATAATGATTTACAGAACATTTCATATGGGATTATTATATGAGAGAGCTCAGTAAAGTCTCTTAAAAGTCTGCACTGAGAGCAGGAGAGAGATTTTGTTTTGCACCTCTGAAATTGGTTCCACTGTGCCAGTCAAGAGCAATCCATCCCCGGAGAGTCGAAGAGTAAATTTTGTGTAGTAATTCAAACCAGGTGTGGCTGGATGGCAGCAGGCAGACAGATACTAACTTGACAGATTCAGAAGCTGCTCAAAAGGCAGCGTGAGCAGCCCAGCACAGCGAGGCGAGAACAGAGAACCTGCTACGCATCGATAGGCAGAGTCTCCACGGGCCAAGAGGGACGACCTCTGCAGTTTAAGTGGAAACATGCGCCGCAGACGCCGGCTCTGTGCGACAAGCGCGGAGTGAACGCCTCCGAAAGAGGTCAGAATGACTAAAGACGGGAGTGAGTGATGTCAACAAAGAGGCTTTTCAGGGTGGAACACTTAACATCACCTGCGTAGGAAAATGTGCCGACCCAGAGAGGGCTGAGTGTTTGCACAAACGTTTAACCCCACGCGTTTAAGTAAGAGGGCCAGCCTTTCACAGAATGTATATATATTTGTAGATACACACTCTCCTCCCCTCCCTTCTTCTCCCTCTGTCTTACAGTATACACCCCTTTGACTCTCTCTCTCTTGGAGGCGCATGCGGAAAATAATGTAACAGTGTAAATATTATGCCTGTGTGTGCTTTTTGCAGTTGCATGGTAACATAGACCAGGCAGCGAGCTCAACGCTGGCATATGGTTTTTCAGAACGGCTGGCTCCACCCCGTCTACCCCTCTCAGAGCCGAGGAGTCAAACTGAAGTCAATGGCTGCTCTCATGAGCAGATGAGTGACGCCTTCTGCTGTGGTCGCTGAGCCCAGAGAGGAGGAGGAGGAGGAAGAGGAGGAGGAGGAGGAAGAGGGGAAAAAAAAAATGGAGACGCATGGAGGAGGGAAGCTAAAAGGTGGTAAAATACAAGCTGAAGTTGATGCTAGAGGCCAAGACCACCAACAGAAACAGAAAGAGACTGTGATCAGAGTTATGGTTTCATTCAGATCTTCATTTCATAAAAATTTACACCATCAAAAGTGCCTCTTAAATACTGCTACTTGACGGAGATTTCACTTGTACTTTTGACCTGACTATTTATCTGACAGCTGTATTTACTGCGCTGTATCTGATTTTACATTCAGACCATTGTGGCTGCTGTCAAGGAAAAGAAATCTTGCATGTTGCCACTCACAGCTTAGTTTCAGCTCAATAAAACATGAATGTTTGACACAATCTGTAGAGTGGCATTTAATCCTGTAACTTAATCTGACAGTATAAATCCCCAAACTGGACATCTTTTCATCTTGTTTTATATCTACACATTTTATTATTTTACTATTTAATTGTTTTTATTTTAATGGAAGTTGGGAAAGAAATCTTCAAAATAAGTACTTTTCCTAAGTAGGTAGTACTAAATAATAAGTGATTTTATGATGCTTTGTGTCTAATATTTCTTTTATCTAATTTAGAAAGAGATTATGTAACTTTCCATATAAAAATAAAAAGTTGAATTCATAAGCAATTATTAATCAACAGTATTGATTAACTGTGACTTTAGGGAACAATGGCCACCTTCAGTTACATTCTTGCTTTAAAACTTTAAATCTGGACTTAATTGCCACCACTAATAGCGGCTTAAAGTGTGAATGACTATTTGAGAAAGGCAATTTCCAAATGCAACATACACTCAAATTGAATCGCTCACAGTTAATAATTTGTGGTATATTAACTTTGAGTGACATTTCTACTTTAATTCCCCTGTGTCTTTCCCTTGGCACATTTAATTATTTTCCCCATACATGCCACTTGCTTTTATTACCATGTTACACTGGCTAACCCCTGTTGAACCTGCAGCATTAGTCCCCAAACGTGATAATCCCATCCATTCCAATCACGCCAGATTCCAAACAGAATTAAATTATTAAGGAGCTTACGTTAGAGTCATACAAGGCTTTAAAGGTTTTAGGGCTTTGGCTGTGGACCTACAGAAGGGCACAAGCCATGGGAATGGACAGGGAGGTTCACACTGCAAAAAGTGTGCATCTGAGGGAGACATTAAACCAACATAGAGTCTTTGCGTAGAAGGAAAATAGATAGTGTGGGGATTTGTATTGAATTCAGCCTTTTGTACATGAAATATCTTGAGACACACAAAGTTATCTGCCTTATTTTAAGATATTTTAGCTTGCCTTGCAGGACCTGCCATGGAAAACAGTGAGGTTACCTCACCCTACTGGCAGATTCTTTCACTCATTTTAATCAAAACAAGAATTCATGACTCCACTGCCAGTTTAAATGAATCTTAAAGATAGACATTTTTTGCAGTGTAGCAGTTGTCTGAGAAAACACAGGAAGCTCGGCTCCCTTTATAGTCCAAACCCTCCGTCTTCACCTCACAAAATAGCCCTGTCAGAACCAGCGGGGCCAGTTACCAGAATTTATGGCTGTGTCAGAGCGGACCAGTGGCCCGGATCTATGCTACCGTCTAATTTGACCCACAGAGAAAGCGGAAACAGATAGAAGCGGTCCTAAGGGCTTGCTATTAAAGCTGGCAAAGTTTTTGGGTTGCCTGAGTTTGGCTTTGCATCAGCACAGAGGAGAAGACTGTAACATTGGAAGTATGAGAGTTTAAAGGAGACATAAATGGGTAAGAAAACTAAATAAACAGGATAATCTGTCTTTTGATATCCGTGGTTTATTTGGGTAAAACGACAGGGGAGAGAAGTGAATGACCGTGTCAAGTCTAAAATTAAAAAGAGTCCAAAAACAATCAAACACAAAAGTGTAGAAATTCCACAGTGGCCTACAGAGACTCACAATCCAGGCTGTGTTAAAATCTGGATTGGAAAAACAAGGATTTAAAGTGCTTAAAGTCTTAAAAAGTAACAGTGTGGAGCCAGTTTAAGAACCCTGCCTTGGAAACCTGTCAAAACAGGGATTGAAAAATCAGTTAAGCACTGAGCGACCTGGATGGAATGAACCACAATAATTACATTGTCAACTTTTGTCTCACTTGTGCCGCCGCAGTTTAGCATGAACACAAAAAAATCCCTTCCGCCATATGTGGCAGCATACAACAGCATTGGCTTTGGCTGTCAAAGACTAGGCCAGCTCAATAGGCTGGTGACACGCCCATCTCTCCCCACCTCCATCTGATGGCTCAATAGAGAGGTGAACTTTAACCTTTAGGCCCTGCCCCTCCATAATGGAGCAGGCTCTGAGCGCCACAGTTGTCTGGGAAGGCGCACAATGCTCCGGCACGTCGCTCTGCTGGAATTTTATTTTCCATTTTACCAATGAGCCACACATCCTATTTACCGATTCATTTAGTTACAACAAACGTACCGTTTAGTTCTCTGTGTTGCATTTTAATAGACTTACAAAGTGCTTGTAAGACAGACGTGAATGTCTGAACCTCCAATGTGTTCATGGGAAAGAATATACTGAGAAGATGTTAGTGTACAACAACATGAGCCCGTATGAATGGTTAATCATAGGATTTGTCTGATTTGTGCTTTCAAGAGTAATAATAAATGAGACACAGAATTAATTACTCATTCTTGCAACGGTAAAAAAAATGTTTTAAAATAGGTGCGATACTTTGCTTGTCATAAAGAATCTTCCTGACTCGACTTTTACTGAGGTATATGTTGAGAACAAGAAAACTAATCTGCATCGATGTACCTGTAAGCTTTTTGTCACATTTCACTACAAGTTCTTGCAGGACGTGAACCTGATGAGAATATATATTATATATATATATATACATATAAATATATGTATATATATATATATATATATATATATATATTGCATATTTTACAAAAATAAATGTAATTTTAGGCCTGAATAGAAGATGAAACAGCTTGTTAAAATGGAAGTCTTTAAAGAACAAAGGAGAACACGGTGCATCCTCAGGAAGGCCACTTTGAACCACTCCAGTGTGAAGACAGGAGGTATTTTTGTTGGCGGGTAATGGACCTTAATGGACCGCTCAGTCTGTAACTTTTTGTCACCCAAGTGCAGATCTGAAGGCACTCAGAGTAAATGACAAACTTGCTAGTATGCAGTGCTGATTGGAGAGAACTCACTCCATTGTGCTGATCAGCATGGATCAGTTAACAAGTCAGTTACAGTCACATACACGCTCCTGGCCTTGAGAGGCGTGTGACAAAATCCTCCCTATCACCCGTCCAAACCTTAACAATCAGACACAGGCGCGATTCATTCAGCTGAAATTAACCACGGCTGTCAAATAAAAAATGATCGCGTCATTTCAATAAGGATGTGATAGGAAGACAGCTTCACCTTGAGGACCCTGTTTTTACAAGGCCATTGTCAGGCTGTCAGGACTTAGGGTTACCCCCCACACCCACCCATCTACCCTAACCCTGCAAGATGAACTCATCACAGGGCAGATGTGAGGTGGGGTGACGAGGGCTGTGACACGGTGAGACTGAATGCACTGCAAAAAATATCCTGACAACAGATTGTTGCATTGTGTCAGACTACGCAATGATGATTCAATCTTCAGCCAGTTTGTTTAAGACTTAATACAATTTAAAAGCACTACTTTTGTTGACAACTGAAAGAGCTCATTGATCTTAATTTGTATAGTTGCCAAAAGGTGTTTCTGCTGTCTGCTGATACTGGTGGATACTGGTGGGTGTAAGATTTGATGACTGAATCTTAACTGATGAAGGTTTACCGACTGAAACATATAAAGTGAGTTTAAAGTTTCTCGGTTCTTCTCAGTGTTGTTTGAAACTATAAAAAAAATCTAGTAAATGATCACGACTGAAAGGACAAGGATAAAAGAGGCAAAGTACATAAGTGTTTGAGGAATAAAGAAAGGTACCACAGTGCTTCTCACAGTGTCTGACTGACAGATGATCTCTGGGAAATGCAAACAACAGTGAACGGATGGCAGGAGGAAAATGAGAATCTGGATGATAACCATGTTAAGAACTAGGTGACAATATAATGGTATTAGGCACATCAATCAACTTAATTGCAGATAATGTGACTTGATCATCACTGCAAATATCTTTCAGAGCAAAATGAATCATGGTGGGCAGTTTTAATTCTGTTAAATGTTAACCATTTTAAGATGGACTTTTTGTGTGCAGGGTGGTGGTGGGGTCAGTAGAGGTTTTGACATTAGGACAGGGTGAAGCTGTTACCCCTGACCCCCCTGACGCCACGCCGTGTCACAGGCTTGTCTGTCACCAAGCACCCTGATTCTATAGAGGATGACCTCTCCGTTCACCCCCCCTCAATGCCAACTGGATCTTAAAACAGCTCCGGGGCAGGAGGGAGGGGGGAAAAGAGGGGAGGGACATGTGATAACGTCTTGACATAGAAAGGGACATCTCAATAACTGCCACCTTGAATATTACAGCTCTATCAAACTCACTTATTCATACATGCTTAAACACGAGAGTTGTGTTAAACAAGCATTTACACTTGTATGAATCGGTGTAACTGACTTTTCTACCATTTCTCTTTTATATGATCACCCCATGGTCAATGGTCAATATGATCTAGGAATTTAAACTAACTGTAGAGTTGCACTTGTTCCAGTTAAATGATGTACTGAAATCATAAGAAGAAAGGACAGAAATTATACACAATTTGGCTGATGGGAATTCACAGAGCTCAGAGCCTGGAGGTAAGGAGGGTGAGCTACGTGATAAGAGAAATAAAAGAATTGTCTTAATAAGGCCTCAGTCACCTCTTAACATCTTTATTAGAACTAGACTAAACTTGACAATGGGGAATGATGTGAGCAGAGGACAGTCTTTTTGTCAGATACATTTTAAGACATAAAGTCTTTAAGTTATATAAAGCCAAGTTAACTGAAAAGTGAATTCAAAGGATAAGTCCTGCATGCCAAGATAAGGTTTCTTTTTTGTGATTTAGGTTATTCTTTTGGACCCTAACTCAACTCAAAACCAAAATAAAGAAAATTAAAGCTTTTAGGTTGTTACTGTATAAAAAGTCCAAAAAATCTCAACATGATTCAACCATCAAGTTAACATAAATGTTGTATGGTTGGACACTATCATCCTAAATACTGCACTTTGAGCATGGGTGGCCACAGTGGGAACTACACCCACAGTATTGGTTGGTGCCAAGCTCGACATGCTGAGCTATACCGAGCGTAAAATGTACAGGAATTTGTCTTGGTGGCTTGTTGACAACTTACAGTGTCACAGCTCACACTGACAATACAGAACAAAGCCAACCGGACCTCATATATGCTGTAAAGGCTTACTATGGATAGTCCGCTATACATATCACTCTCTAATTATACATTTAACATCCCATAGGAGAGTATGTTAAAGCAGGCCAGTGTACAAAATGGCTTCTGCTGCAGAGGGAAATAAATGAATCGGTAAGCACTGCACAGATTCAGTCTACCATGAGACATTACACTGATTAGGCTGACATTAATATCTTAATAAGGCCTCAGTCACCGTGAAAACATCTCTATTGCGCTCTTTAATTTGCCTTGGTGAGTTGTTTAACAGAAAAGGGACACTTAGGGATTAGGGAACAGATGAAATAAATATCAGAGCGCTCTCCAGTCAGTTTAGGATTAATTTGCTGCTAAAAGTGCAGCCGCCAACTTTATTATCAGCAAATCTTCATGCATACCAAAGACGCTAAAAGTTGCTGTCGGGGAGCCACTCCAGTGTCCTGAGGGCTGGTGACAGGTGCGTGTGAATCTGTGTGTGTGTGTGT